ACAAATAGAATGTAATCATTTTTGATTCAAACATGTGAAATAGCCAATAATAATCCAAAAAATAAACGGTAAAACTCGCTATTATTACAAAAATATCCACTATATCATGCAAAATTAGAAAGAAAAAAAAACAGAATTGGGACAACAGAGATAATACAGGGATTCGAACCTAAACCGACAAATCCCTATCTTTTAACTCGTTGATTTTAAGCATGCTAACCTCGCGGCTACCAACTTATACTATACGACTGCCCATTGTGTATATATAAAGGTACAACCCCTGTGTGTCCGATGTTCATTTATATATATAAAATAGACATCTAAGTTGTAACCCATTGGTAGCCGAGAGGTTTCGTCGATGTGTTGATGTCAGTCATTCATAACAGATTTCAAGGAAGGGTTCGATTCCCAGTGAAGGCATATACAAATTACAAAAATTAAAGGTAAGTTTTAAAATTAATTCCATTAGTGAACAGAAATCAGTAAATTAGCCAATTCAAACTTAATGAAATTAGACAAACAAAGGAAACAACTGAATATAGTTTGGTGAGTCCATTTCAGCGGCAGATTTAAAGGAAGCGTTGATTCTAGAAAAAGAATCCACGGTAAATGAATAGGCTGACGTCACCACAATGGTTTAACATCATATCTAGTATGTCTTATTCTATAAGCTATGATGCTTTTCTATGTTGTCAAAGGATGAATGTAGAGGGATGATTTTACATTTCAACTGTCTGTCCTGTCTTAAGAACGTTATAAATCTATTTTCAAAAGCGTTAAAGATGTTATTAATAATTCTTACAAACAGTTGTGTTGTATACTTAGAGAACGGCAACATGTTTACGAAAGCTACATCGTCCGTGGTTTTCTTATATATACCTAAGTGTCGTTGTCCTTTTATTTGAATCTATTAGTGACAACAGAATATCAGTAGTCTACTGAATTAATATAAAATATGGCTATAGGTATAGGGGGAGGGTTGATATCTCACAAAACATGTTTAACCCAGTCGCATTTTTTCGCCTGTCCAAAGTCATGAACCTCTAGCCCTTGTTAGTCTTGTGTGCTTTTTTAAATTTTAGTTCATTTGTATGTTTCGGAGTGCGGTGTCCATTTCACTGAACAAGCATACATTATTGTTTAGGGGCCAAAATTGGTCGGGTTGTTGTCTCTTTGACATATTCCCCGTTTCAATTCTCTATGCTATTGTCCCACTCTGATTGATTTAAAGCTGTGGTAAATACATTCGTTTTATAAGACTCTACAATAAATATAATTTTAAGAGAGCCGCCTATGTAGTCAAAAGTGAAATAACAAAAATACCGAACTCTAAGGAAAATTCAAATCGGAAAGTCCCTTATAAAATGGCAAAATAAAAAATTTAAACACATCAAACAAATGGATAACAACTGTCACATGTCTGACTTGGTGTTTTGGGATCTGCACTCTTTTGGCAATTTTATGTGATTTATTATGGGATTAATGCATGAAGTTCATACCAGAATGTTGAGTATGACTTTATCTACATAGAATTTCATTTTTATTGTGAAAATTTCGATTTGTGAATTTTGGATATTTGGAAAGATTTAAACTGAGAACATATCAATAACACTGTTCACAACTTGTAGTTTTCTATTCACTTGTCTGGAGTATATTTCGGATTATATTTGTGAGTTCTTTTTTGCTTTAACCATGCCAGGTGGAAACTCTAACAACAGTGATAAAAAGGTGCAAGAAAATGTACAAAAAGTACAAATATCGCTGGCAGCTAAAAAGGTAACGACAAAGAAAATCCAGATAAAACAACTCATACAGACGTTTCAATGGATAGTATTGCATATGTCACAATTGAATTTTCAAATTTCCACCATGATTTAGACATTATAAAGTAAAGCCTGAAGAGTGTTTTTAAATGAACAGACCTTGTCAAAGCATTGAACAACACTGTAAGAAAGATAATTTGGAAACAATTGACATCAATTAATGTTGTTACCAAAGAAGATAATTTGTTAGTGCGATTAACATGCATTTGTGAAATTGTAGCATTTAATGCCAGTCAAACTGCAACACATAAAAATGTAACTTTATATGGATGTGAGTTATCTTAACAGTGTAAATGTGAGATAGAATGATTGTGTTAATATAGTGTTTTTAAAGTTTATATAGCTGTATTAGATTTTTTGCCTGTTCTTGTGCATTGATAAAAACATTGTATCTCAAGTCAATATAACATAATGGAAAATCATATCAAAATTTTGTCAATGCATGTAAGGGGTCTTTTCTCTAAAATTAAGAAAAAGTAAATAACAAAAATACCTTAACTCCAAGGAAAATTCAAAACGGAAAGTCCTTTATCGAATAGCAACATCAAAAGCTAGCTAAACCTCTCACTTGTGTGACAGTCGCATAAAATTCTGTTATATTCACAAAAATATGTGGACAAAACAAATAGACATAATAGGCAAAAATGTCAAAAATAGGGATACAGCAGTCAACATTGTATTATAATCTTAATCACTATAAAGACAAAGAAATATGTCAACAAAGAAAAACAAAATGGCATATTGACAAAGCACATAAGCAAAAATGAAAGACAAGAATACAAAAAATTACCATAGCACAATAACACAATGGCGGGATGTATAAGTACCGAGCCACGCCAAAAGGATATTACCAAAAATGGACTAAACAGTAAAGGTTAAAAATTTACAAATACTAATAAAAGAACACTGTAACATGTAATTAAGATGATAAACAATGTCAGTACCTAGAATCTATACTTCAAGACCATCATGTATTATTTGTGAAGTTGATACTGAATATTTATCAACAAGGTATTGGTATCTTCCGATGAACTTTTTTTAGAAAAAGGACGAGACGTTCTTTGACATAACCCTGGTTCATCAACTTTCTGCTCAGACACTGGTGACGTTTTATAAAGTCTGTGTAGCAGCTGCACGCTCTTGAATACCGAATGAGTTGGGCAATGTATATACCATATGCAGATGAAATTGGTATATTGCTACTAAGGTGGGGGGAATTGATAATTTCAAAATTAAAATCATAGTCTTATAGTTTCATCAAGTTTGTCATAGATGTGGGTACTGAGATGACCGCTTATGTCAAATTCGAGGTATAAGTCTAAAAATGAGGCGGAGGAAGCCGTGTCTGTTGTTTCTTTAATTTTCTAGTTCTGGATGATATATTAATGGAACCCAATCAGAAAAGTTTGGATTGTGAATGGAAAGAACTTCATCAATATATCTGAATGTGAAATTAAATGATCGGGCTTCCTTGATCTTCTTGTTTTTGACAAGTGTCTGAAGGAACTCCGACTCATATGAAAATAAGAAGAGGTCGGCAAGGAGAGGTGCACAGTTCGTTCCCATAGGAATGCCGACAATTTTTTGAAGAAGTCTACCTCCAAGTATTCCGAAGTAATACATTTATAGCTTAAGAGAGACATTTAATCAGATACATTTTGTAAAACAAAAAAATTAAGAAAAAAACAAACTTTATAAGCTATTACAGTCTGATATCAAATATTCTGATAAAGGTGTTATGATATTGTAACTACCATTTTTATTTAGTTGGCCTAATTTGTTTTGTGTGGCCTATTATATATTTTTACATTGTGTACAAAAGAATACACATTGTGTTACAACTTTGCAGTTTAGAAATCACTGGAACAATCATTGATACTCATGGAATGATTAGAACTTTCTATTTCACTTACATAACGTTTCCAGAATGATCATAACAAAAGATGCGTAATTTAAACATCTACCGTTATCTAGAAGTTTCCGTTATAAGTATATATATAAGTATGCATACCCTAAAGTTAGATAGACATAGACATCGATAGACATCAACATTCTCAACAGTTGGATTGACACTTTTTATTTACAAACTACATCATACTAGATTATGATGTATTGGACGTAATATTCTCTGTGGATTCCGAGAAGAATTCCGGATAAAGAAAAGATAAAAGATTGGACTCATATTTTGACAGTTAAGTTGACATTACTATTTGTGTAATACTTCTTGTAAACTTGTGTATAATAAATCTTGTTAAATTTTATTATTGATTTGTGTCTTTTGTTGGCTACAATTAAAAGTCGATTTTTCTGGTCGTAACAAAGGTAAAACAGTGTATAAAGGAAAATATGTTACTCATTTAGAAAGTTTATCACTACATGATATTTACCTGGAACAAATTACCAGTCGCAAAATATTAAATTTATATATACTAATTTTCAAAATGGGAGGATGAGATGCATACTAGAAAAGGTATAACAAAAATACCGAACTCAAAGGCAAATTCAAAAAGGGCATAAAAACTGAAAAAAATAAACGCTATCATTCAACAGAACAATTCAAGTGAAAAACAACTGCCATATTCTTTTGATATTGGAGACTGGCCAACATGTTTTTGTATACCTCAAAAAGGTTGCAGATATATATATTTGTATAATTTCCAATACACATTTTTACATAGTATTATTCCTATAAATACATTTTTATATAAGATTGAAATCAAACACACAAAGTTATGTTTTTGTTTTGTAGATGTGACGATGAAACTATTGGACGTTTATTTTATGATTGTCAAGTGACATCAAGTTTTTAAAATTTGTTCTGTGCTAGTCTATAAAATGTCTTTGTTAGCATTGAATTCGCAAAGAAGAACCTTTTCTACGTTTTGTAGAAGAACACCTAATTCTAAATTTTTTGGTAATTTTTGCTAAAAAATACGAATAAAAATGCAAGCTAGAAGAAAAGCTTCCTAATGCACTTGAATTAAAAAAAACCCTGAAAAACTTTTATAATTTAGAATTATATACGGCAAGAAAATATAACAAAGTTTTTGCACTGTGGAAATTATTTATCCTGAATGGTAGTCTTACAACACTAATGTATTAAAACATATTTCTTCTTCCCTTATTTATGTATACAGAGCAAACAACATGCTATATATACAAGGTACAAATACATCTTATTTTTTTTTACTGAACTATCTATATAGATCTTTCGCTATAACGAGACTGTGAAAAAGGAGAGAGTGAAAGAGATAAAGAGAGATTCAGAGAGACATGTTTTATATATTTTTTTCGTAAATTTGTCTTTTTTTGTTTTAATAATAAGGGTAAATCAGTCGTCTTAAGGGGAAGTTAGAGATTTTTTAGAAACATATAATGCACTTAATTGTGGAGAAGGATCTGCATACCCTTCCAGAGCATCTGAGATCACCCCCGGTTTTGATGTCTTTAGTGTTCTATGTTGTGTTTTGTATACTGTTATTTGTCTTTTATCGTTTTTCGTTTTTGCCATGGCATCGTCAGTTTGTTTTCGACTTATGAGTTTGGACATCCCTTTGGTATCTTTCACTTCTCTTTTGAAGGTAAGAACAATTATTACTGAATATGAAAAGAGCGCACTACCTACATTAATTTATTTTGAGTAAAACATTCTATAACATATACCATTTGGAAATTGACTGAAATGAGTCAAAATTTTGACACAATATTTCTGCATTCATAAGCATGTAATTCAGTGAATACGAAGATTTTGTTATTTTTCACTGTTGACCTTTTCAATTTAATAAAAAGAAAAAAAAAGAAAAACGAAATTTGTTAAAATTTGATTCGCACCTTTCCACCTGAAGACAAAGAAAATATTCAGTTTCTTAATCAATCTTTTTTTTTTTACAAATGACCAATTTGAAATTGATTAATCTAAAACGTTTGATTTTTTTACTTTTATAGATGAAATACTTATTGTTGCTTCTAAAATAAAATGCCTTTGCTAATCGTGGATTAATTTGAAGGCTATAATTAATAAAAGTTAAGAGTTTTGCCAATGTTTAGCAAAATCAGGAAACTGTGAAACTACTATATTTGTGTTTTTGAATAGAATGGTCGAAAGCCATTAACGTAGCCACGCTTCGATCGTTACCCTTTACATCTTCTAAGCTTTCACCGTGTGTTTAACTTATCATCTTCTATCTAGCACTAATGTTAATGTTCGATTGCGATATAAATTATAAGCATTATTTTATTTAATTTTTTTTTCAATTTGTTTAACCTTACATGGGTTTTATGTATACATCAATTAAAACGTTTTCAAACAATTATATTTGAAGTGAAGATGGCCATGCAGGTATTTGGAAATATCAGATGCAAGCTTTATATCAGAATGAATGTAGTTGGTATTGTGAAACTTTTTTTTACATTTTCAGACGAAATTTATCAACCATATTGAAAAACAATGGATGAAAAGAGACGGTAAATGTCAATGAGATGAGCGACAAACAAATTAACAAAACATCTAAATGTCAACATACGAGTGTCTATATAATATATCAATCTCTGAATCAACAATTGTGATAGATTTAGAAGATATAGGGAAAATAAAAGCTCTATCATCAACACTAAATTCTGCAATTTATATGCACATTGAGATGTTATAAAACAGAAAACATAATGACTGCGGACAAGCACATGTGGTTAAGCTAACTATTTTAAAATTTCAACCATCCTTCAATCAATTTCAATATGATAACAAAAATGTACGCAAAAGTACATTGTACGTCAATAAACGGAAAAACAGCTACACTATTCTACAAAAAGAGAAAAGATACCAAAGGAAAAAAACAAGTCAAATAAAAACAAAGAAAAGACAAACAGTAATAACACAATGCTACACAGAAAAACTAACGATAAAGTAACACAAAAACTAACGATAAAGTAACACAAACCCCAACAAAAACTAACGATAGAGTAACACAAACCCCAACAAAAACTAACGATAGAGTAACACAAACCCCAACAAAAACTAACGATAAAGTAACACAAACCCCAACAAAAACTAACGATAAAGTGACACAAACCCAACAAAAACTAACGATAAAGTAACACAAACCCCAACAAAAACTAACGATAAAGTAACACAAACCCCAACAAAAACTAACGATAAAGTAACACAAACCCCAACAAAAACTAACGATAAAGCCCCAACAAAAACTAACGATAAAGTAACACAAACCCCAACAAAAACTAACGATAAAGTAACACAAACCCCAACAAAAACTAACGATAAAGTAACACAAACCCCAACAAAAACTAACGATAAAGTAACACAAACCCCAACAAAAACTAACGATAAAGTAACACAAACCCTAACAAAAACTAACGATAAAGTAACACAAACCCCAACAAAAGCTAACGACACAAAAACTAAAGATAAAGTAACACAAACCCCAACAAAAACTAACGATAAAGTAACACAAACCCCAACAAAAACTAAAGATAAAGTAACACAAACCCCAACAAAAACTAACGATTAAGTAACACAAACCCCAACAAAAACTAACGATAAAGTAACACAAACCCCAACAAAAACTAACGATAAAGTAACTCAAACCCCAACAAAAACTAACGATAAAGTAACACAAACCTCAACAAAAACTAACGATAAAGTAACACAAACCCCAACAAAAACTAACGATAAAGTAACACAAACCCCAACAAAAACTAACGATAAAGTAACACAAACCCCAACAAAACATAACGATAAAGTAACACAAACCCCAACAAAAACTAACGATAGAGTAACACAAACTCCAACAAAAACTAACGATAAAGTAACATAAAGTAACACAAACCCCAACATAAACTAAAGATAAATGAACACAAACCCCAACAAAAACTAACGATAAAGAAACACAAACCCCAATAAAAACTAACGATAAAGTAACCCAAACCCCAACAAAAACTAACGATAAAGTAACACAAACCCCAACAAAAACTAACGATAGAGTAACACAAACCCCAACAAAAACTAACGATAGAGTAACACAAACCCCAACAAAAACTAACGATAGAGTAACACAAACCCCAACAAAAACTAACGATAGAGTAACACAAACCCCAACAAAAACTAACGATAAAGTAACACAAACCCCAACAAAAACTAAAGATAAAGTAAAACAAACCCCAACAAAAACTAAAGACAAAGTAACACAAACCCCAACAAAAACTAAAGACAAAGTAACACAAACCCCAACAAAAACTAACGATAAAGTAACACAAACCCCAACAAAAACTAAAGATAAAGTAACACAAACCCCAACAAAAACTAACGATAAAGAAACACAAACCCCAACAAAAACTAACGATAAAGAAACACAAACCCCAACAAAAACTAACGATAAAGTAACACAAACCTCAACAAAAACTAACGATAAAGTAACACAAACCCCAACAAACTAACGATAAAGTAACACAAACCCCAACCAAAACTAACGATAAAGTAACACAAAACCCAACAAAAACTAACTATAAAGTAACACAAACACAAAATAAAAACCTGGAATTGAACTCATGTGCTTCGTAAAGGTAAAGTAATGAGATAGTAGTCTGTCGATGTTCAAATATCTCAAATCAATAAGGAAAAGACAAACCAAGGCAACAAACAAACAAACAAAAAAAAACCCCGATGAAACCCATAAACTATATAACGTAACGTGAAGTTAAAGGTTTACGCCTTTTTTTCCATATTACATCCTTTTATCTATACTATTTACTATTAGATTGTTACTTTTACTATTACTATTACTAAATAGTTTTATTTGCATTTCATAGATATAGGAAGATGTGGTATGAGTGCCAATGAGACAACTCTCCATCCAAGTAACAATTTATAAAAGTAAACCATTATAGGTCAAGGTTCGGCCTTCAACACGGAGCATTGGCTCACACCGAACAGCAAACTATAAAGGGTCCCAAAAATTACTAGTGTAAAACCATTCAAACGGGAAAGCCAACGATCTAATCTATATAAAAAACGAGAAACGAGAAACACGTATGAACTACATAAACAAACGACAACTACTGTACATCAGATTCCTGACTTAGGAGAGGTGCAAACATTTGCAGCGGGATTAAACGTTTTAATGGTACCAAACCTTCTCCCTTTTCTGAAACAATAGTATAACATCACAACATAGAAAGACACACTATAAAATATCAATTGGAAGGCTTAACTCAATCAAAAAACGTAAATTAACACACAATGAACGAATAAATTTGATCTGTAATACCTGAATGCAAATACATAGTTAATAAAAATTATAAGGGATAAATAATTAAGGTCAAAAGTAAATAAACAGGTTTAAACAAAGTTAAAGTATGATACCACTGTGAAATGTTAAACAATATTTAGAAAATCATCACTTTTGAAAAAACCTGCGTCATATTATACACAGGTAAATGAAAATAATGTTGTTGTTAAGTATACTTCTTCTTCTGTGTGTATAAAATCTTCCGTTTAGGAATACCAAGAAATTTCTTTAATATCAATAAAACTAATTTAACATTTGGTACATATGGGGTGAATATCAGCAATAAAACTATACAATAAGTGCTAGATAAAACTTCCTGTACAGTATTTAAGGAGAAATGAAATAATTTTGATGTTCATAGTACGAAGAAGTGAAAATTAGTAGTAATACCAAATAATCAAAGCTGGTATATAGACAAGATCCATGTTAACATTAAATAACAAAAAAGCATTACAAATAGTATCAACAGGTCAAATTAAAAAGAAAGTACGATTTGAGAGTACTCGCAGTTACTGACAGCTAGTTAAAAGCCAAATCAATTAATAATAAAACAGCATGCATCAGAGACTGAAATCAACTAAAACACATCCCAGGGATTTAGTATTTTAACGTCATGAACAGTCAAAGAAGACATGACTTGTGCAATGCCAAAAATAAATGTATCGACAGGGAGTAGGATAGTTAGGAGTGACTTCTTTATAGATAAAAATGAACGTGTGTGTGTCTCTATACATCCCGTTTGAAAAGAAAATACAAATTTAGTTATGTTTTAATTTGCTAATGACAAAATCGATATTAGTGCCAATGCAAACTATATTCAGAGATCTAATTACAACATTGGTACGATAACCCTTACTAACAAGTTTGTTTAAAGGTTCGATGAGTTTACACGGATCACATAGTGATTTCCGCAGTTTGTTTGTATTACTAAACATATAACTTACCAAAACGGCAATAATAATTCCAATTTAATGAGCACGAAATCTAGCAGGTGAAAGATGTTGGGGGACCTGTATTTATATAGTCCCCGGTGCTGTTTCCAGGAAGTTTCGGTTTGTTCATACATGTACTTAACCACTTGTTATAAATAAAACCGTAAATAAACAGTTATTGTTTCAAAATGAATTGTACCCGAATAAGTTATTTATGTTAAAGTCATAAATGTAGGGACATACTAAGTAAGCACTTTAAAAATAAAATTAACCCCGATTAAACCCATAAAATATATATAAAGTAACGTGAAGTTAAAGGTTAACGCTTTTTTTTCCATTATTCTTTATGAAAGTAATATGGGAACGTAATTTGTTTGTAGATTGTTTGTAGAAAAAAACACGTCCTATAAGTTAAGGGAAAGCTTGAGAACCCGTCTATAAAAAAAAAAGTCAACAGTAGTTTTCCGATGTTCAAAAAGTCCAAAAGGAACGAAACCTGGCGCGTCGACAAAATAAAGATCATGAATCATAAGTGGAGATCATTAAAACGATTTTTTTTTATCAAACTGAAGTAATAAAAAAAGCTTCTCTGAAAATCCACGATAAAAAAATGCAGAAAGGAAAACGATCGTTGTATATGCCATATATTTATCCTTTTAATCTTGTTTTTCTTTGGCAATTTAAAAATTGAAATATAATAGCAGAAATTCCGGGACAAAATTTTATTATATTTGATATACGATCATGAGACGACTGGCATAGTAACATAAGTGAAATATATTATATAAGCATTTTAAAACTCTTTGCAGTCAGTATTTTAAATTTAATTTTTGTGGGAATATCATTCTTTTTTGGAAAATTCCACTTTATTCCATACCGTCATAAAAAAAAGACTTTACAATACGAAATAATTGCATTTTTGCTAGACTCTATGGTACTGCATATTTGGTCTGGTCTATTTATGTTTGCTTAAATAAGAGCTTATTATTTTTCTATATCTTCAAATATTTTGAAATAATTTCGCGAGGTAAACATATTACATCCTTTTATCTATACTATTTACTATTAGATTGTTACTTTTACTATTACTATTACTAAATAGTTGTATTTGCATTTCAGTTTGTTTGTATTACTAAACATATAACTTACCAAAACGGCAATAATAATTCCAATTTAATGAGCACGAAATCTAGCAAGTGAAAGATGTTGGGGGACCTGTACTTATATAGTCCCCGGTGCTGTTTCCAGGAAGTTTCGGTTAGTTCATACATGTACTTAATTGATTAACCACTTGTTATAAATAAAACCGACAGTTATTGTTTCAAAATGAATTATACCCGAATAAGTTATTTATGTTATAATCATAAATGTAGGGACAAACCAAACACTTTAAGAATAAAGTCAACATCTCATAGTATGATACCAGTTTTGATTTATTCCTGATATTTGAGGGGAAAATTTTTCATATCGGCGTCAGTACAACCCGACAAAACCACGTAATAAACGTCAAACACAAACAGGATTAAGCATATTGAACGTATGATACAAAGTACACTTTGGTCTCATTGTTGTAATCGTTGGCGCCCAAACTCATCACATATGATTGTCCATAACGTATAAATCTATCTATTCAATTTTTTGCTACACACAGTGAACAATATTGTCTACCTCGTGATCAATGCAAGTCTGATAATGCAAGGTGCATTCCATCTAAGTATTATTTATAAGCCCAGGTCTCCTTTGTAAATGGGATACAAGTAAGAGTGTGCAGAAGCACATCATTTATTTCATCTTTTTACAATGAAAAATGGTTTCGTCATGTAGAAAATAATTTGGAAAGCATCAACTCGACTCAATGATAAAATCGAAACCAATAGATGTTTAAATATTTGAGAAGCTATATAACCAAACGGTACTTTAAAAGCGTAGCCCAAAATTACCTGACGTCAATGATGTCTTTATTTCAGTAATTATATTTATGTACGGTAGGCATGTGAATTTTCGAGTATAGAAAGCGGGATTATTGCGATAACAATAGAGTATAAAGTCCCGTTAGTATTTATAGTGGTGCGTGCACTAGAAAAGATATCGACTAGGGCGGAGACCATCTAACGAGAAAAATGCTAATTTTTATTAAAAATGATTTTTTGGCAAACTTGGCGATACTATAGAAAGCGGAATAACTCTTTGACTTTATATTGGAGAAATGCTAATACTTAGTTCCTTCCCCTGATCATGTAATCTGATCTCAGAAGGCGCTTCAGTGCAGATAGAAAGTGGCAGGAAAATTTGGAACTGAAATTGTATTTATTATTACAATCTGTGTAATTTGTGTTTAAATAGTACGTTTACATTGTGGTTTTGAGAAGAAAATGACCGTATTCTGTGGACAATTTATATAACATCAATATGGTATTTGACATCGGATATTTATATAGCCGTTATTTGCCGTAATTTGCAATTGTGTCTAGTGAGTGAGTTTGAGTCAGCTGAAGCGCCGGATATTTTAAATTCTATAGTTTATTTAGACAGAATTCATTTTACGATGATAATTGTCGTAGTTGGTAGTTTACACGTTCACAGATTGGGAACGTTTATTCATAATCGAAAGACCTAACATTATTTCACTTAGGATCGCAATAACTATGTTGATGGTGTTCAGTTCCACTATGGTGTTGGTATACCAAAATATTTTCGAAACACTAGAAGGGCAATAAAAGAAGACAGCTTATCGCAGTTAAGTATTGGACATGTTTCATTTATATATTTGCTGAAAGCTATTAAGTTATAGGAAAATTACTCGGGAATTTACCAATTTGATATAGTGACAAATGGCAGTCAATTACTTTTGTATTATTCATTTTATTTCAAAAATTGGGGGTTTAACCTGGGTATCATATGCCACACATAGTTTACGCAACTATAGTATATTATGGACAGGTTTTTATTTATTTATTTATTTGTTAAAGCTATTAAGTTCAAGGGAAATTACCCATAAACATGCTTTTACAGAACAATTCGAGTCAATGTTCAATTTCTTTCAAAACTGGGGGTATAACTTGGGTATTATATGCCACAAATAGTTTTATGTAACTATGGTATATTATATCAGGATGATTTGTTTCAATATTAATTATATTACAATCGAGGGTCTTTTAACCGGAGTGTCATATCCCAACAGTTTTTATTATAACAGAACACGTTATATTCCTTGGATACTTTCTCGCGTGTTTGTATCAAATCGAGATCACACATAGGAGCAGAAGATAAATAAACAAACTCATAAACTATAGACGGTTCTTAAAAATTATTCATGTATGCATTGACCCAGGGTTCAATTTTCGAAAATGAGGCTAAGCTAGGCACCGGTATCATCAATAATGGCTTCTCCAACATCATCAACAAGTAAACAAAGAGATGAATACTGTTGTGTGCCATTTTGTAATGGCAATGCAAGAATTAATAAAGAGCTGAGTTTTCATCATATACCATCAGAAAAGAAAATGCTAACAAGAAAACAGTGGATTGTTGCAATACGTAGAGATGAAGGTGATTTTTTCAAGGTAAATACTAGAAACACGTGCATTTGTTTACACTTTTCATAGAAGCCGATAATGTTCTTTAATATGTAATGCATATATATGCCTATCCCAATTTTCAATAATTAGTTTAAGACAGACTAAAATGTTATGTTCAGCAATATTTTTCTTTAACAATTCTTTTATTTAAGCCGTAAAACATCTGTATAAGTGTTCCATGTCAAACTGTTACCACATGTTGATAGCGATTTTTGCTTCATCATATCTATAGATATGTGTAATTAATTTATCCCATGTTGTTTTTATTACTGTGTGTATGAGACTGTAATAAAAATAATATGCATTTTGAACTTCAAACACGTCATCATGGTCATAGGGTATGAAAATAATGTAATGTACGTACTCGTAAACAACATCAACAATTTCATTCTCAACATTCTTTTAAAATTGTATATATATTACTTTTAAACACATTAGTAAATTGCAAATACTTTTACTGAAAAATAAAGAAAAAATAAACTTCTTGATTTTTTATTAATTTAATATTTTACTGGTCTGCATTTTAAACATGATAAGTTAAGAACAATGTTATACAAGAAAGAAACCTATTCATTTGTTTTTGTTTTCAGATTGGAGGGAATACAGTGGTTTGTTCCAAACATTTCAAAAAGGAAGATTACCGCTGGACTCCTAACAGAAAATGCCTAAAACCAGAAGCTGTTCCATCTGTCTTTGATTGGAAATTAAATGAAAGCAGCAGAAAGGCCCCTACACAAAGACAGTCCCTTTTCAAAAAGATGAAAGTTGACGATCGCGAGGATGGAGAGGAAATGGTTGTAGAGGAGAGTGTTTGTGAAGTTCACAATTCACAAAGTGAAGAGCATGAACATGAAATGTAAGTTATCAGAATGTTTTAATTCAAAATAAAAAAAATATTAAATGTACAAACCCAAGTTTAACTTGAACTTACATGTATTATATGTATATAATTATTTTTAAAATAATTAAAAAGAAAATATAAAAAAATATTTTACAAAATCAAAAGGAAACATAAAGTGTGCTTTAAAACTCCTTCTCCACTCCCCCTTTAATGTTAAGGAGTTTATGCCATTACTTAATATATTTATTTTATATTGACAGGAGTTGTGATTCTAATATTCATGCTGGCTGTCTTGAGAAAATTGAGAAACTGGAACATGTGATACAGCAAAAGGACTCTGAACTTAAAGACAAGACCTATGAGCTGGCAAATTTAAACCAGAAATTACAAATGGAACGGTTTGGAGTAACAAGATTTTCTTTTGACCATGAAATGATAGAGTTTTATACTGGATTTCCAACTTATGATTTATTTTTAATTTTCTATTCTGTAATCAAGCCTACTGCAACAAGAATGAAAACTGTGTATTATAAGTCTTCTGAGGAACCCAGCAATAGAGGACGTCCAAAGTCGATGGATCCTATTGATGAACTATTTATGTTTTTATGTAGGTTAAAGTGTGGTTTTCTGACTGAGGATTTGTCAGTAAGATTTAACATTCATGCATCAACAGTAAGCAGAAAAATAATTACTTGGACAAATTATTTGTATTTCATTTTGGGTAGCATTAATATCTGGCCTAGTAGGGGTAAAATAATGGAGCATATGCCACAAGACTTCAAACTTCTGTACCCTAATACTCGTGTAATAATAGACTGTACAGAAATTTTTACAGAAAGACCGTCTTCTTTAGCTTTGGCGTCAAAGACATTTTCAACGTACAAGAGTCACAACACCTGGAAAGGGCTGGTCGGAATAGCGCCACATGGTGCTATCACTTTCATTTCAGTTCTTTATTCTGGATGTATGTCTGACATAGAAATTACCAAGCATAGTGGACTTATTGAGTTATTAGAACCAGGAGATCAAATAATGGCGGATAAAGGATTTATTTTAAATAAATTACTGAAAGATACAGGTGTATCAATAGCAACACCACACTTCCTCTGCAGTGATGGACAGTTTACACCATCACAAATTGAGGACAATCAAAACATTGCATCATAAAGCGGGCTAAAGAATATAGACTTTTACAGTATACAGTCCCACTTTCATTAGCTGGATCTGTGAATCAGTTATGGACTGTTGCTAATCTATTGACTCTGTTCAGAAGACCATTAATTAAACAAAAAAACTAAATCATCACTTATTAAAAGTTGGCATTTCATTTATACATACAGTGACATAATTTAGTTCAAGAAATAAGTGTGGAAAAACAAATCAAGTTTGTCTTTTGTAGCTTCCCAAAATTCACTATCAAAATAAACTGTCTCCAAATGTGAATCATTTTCAAGCCAAACAAAAAAGTCACACCAGTCTAATCCTGTAACTGCCATTTGCATCTGTATTTGATAATGATAGTTATCATTTTTTTTCAATTTTAGCTCCCCGTCTATTATATGAAGACATTTGACGCTTAATAACTGGTCAGTGTTAGGACATTTTATTTCCAACAAACCATGTGGTTGATTTCTATCAGGTGCATATACTTTTCTGTCTGGGGTAGCTGCAAGCCAGTGACACCAGGGATTTACAATCACACCACATGGATATAAGTTGACATTGTCATTCATCACCTTGCTATAGGCTTGTGTTGCAGTAACCTCACATTCTATTCCACGTTTCATAGCTGCTGTCTGAACATGTCTGGTTGATTGCAAGCGTTCAGCAAGTTTAGCCCAATCAGCTCTTCGCTTGGCTATTTCTCCTGCATGTGATGCTGTGATACGGTCACGTCTTATTTTGTGCCATTTAGGATCATTTGACTGAAGACGTGTTCCTTCCTCAATTTCTTTACTTTCCAGTGGTGTAACCTTCAAGGAATCATACTTTTTTAACTGATCCTTCATGAGGACAGTTTCAAAATTGTTAATCATGACATTTTTCAATGGTAATTCTGGAAATGAATTATTATCCATTAAGTTGAGGAGGTAGTCACTTGCCATTTTTTGTTGATAACTGAGAATGCTTCCTTTAGGGAATTTTCCAAATTCAGTTTGAACTAATTCTGTCCTGTGTTCTGTCACCACAGTGTCAAACAAAATGTCCATATCTTTAACTTGGACCAATAAGTCATTTAAATTGATAGCTTCGATGTTATCATCAACCTATGAGTCGGTAAGTCGCCACGGACTTCTATTGATCTGTGAGCCCCCGATGTTATCATCAGCCCATGAGTCGGTAAGTCCCCACAGACTGCTACTGATATGTGAGTCCCAGGTGTTATCATCAGCCCATGAGTCGGTAAGTCGCCACCGACTGCTATTGATCTTTGAATCCCCAGTGTTATCATCCGCCTACGAAGAGTTGGTAAATCGCCACGGACTGCTACTGATCCGTAAGACCGGATTTATCATTAGCACACGAGTCTGTAAGTCGCCACGGACTGTTATTGATTTGTGAGTCCCAAGTGATATCATGAGCCTATGAGTCGGAAAGTCGACACGGACTGCTATTGATCTGTGAGTCCCCAGTGTTATCAGGCCATGAGTTGGTAATTCGCCACGGACTGCTATTGTTCTGTGAGTCCCCGGTGTTATAATAAGCCCATAAGTCAGTAAGATGCCACGGACTGCTACTGATCTGTGAGTCCCTGGTGTTAACATCAGCCCACGAGGAGTCGGTAAGTCACCACAAAGTGCTATTGATCTGAACTCCCCCGGTATTATCATCAGGCCATGAGTCGGTAATTCGGCACGGACTGCTACTGATCTGTGAGTCCCTGGTGTTATCATCAGCCCACGAGGAGTCGGTAAGTCACCCGAAATGCTATTGATCTGTACTCCCCCGGTGTTATCATCAGGCGATGAGTTGGTAAGTCGCCACGGACTGCTACTGATATGTGAGTCCCCGGTGTTCTATTCATCCAACGATTCGGTTAGTCGCCACGGACTACTATTAATATGTGAGTCCCCGGTGTTATCAACAGCCGACGAGGAGTCGGTAAGTCTCCACAGGTGGCTATTGATCTGCGAGTCGCCGGTGTTATCATCAGACCATGAGTCAGTCAGTTGCAACAGACTGCTACTGATATGTGAGTCTCCGGTGTTATCATCAGCCCATGAGTTGGTAAGTTGCCACCGACTGCTATTGATCTTTGAATCCCTGGTGTTATCGTCAGCCTACGAAGAGTCGGTAAGTCGACACGGACTGGTACTGATATGTGAGACCGGATTCATCATGAGCCCATGAGTCGGTAAGTCGACACGGACTGCTATTGATCTGTGAGTCCCTAATGTTATCATCAGGCCATGAGTCGGTAATTTGCCATGGACTGTAATTGATCTGTGAGTCCCCAGTGTTATAATCAGCCCATTAATCGGTAAGTCGCTACGGACTGTTACTGATCTGTGAGTCCACGGTGTTATCATCAGCCCATGAGCCGGTAAAACACCACGGACTGATATTGATCTGTTAGTCCCCGGTGATATCATTAGCCCATGAGTCGGTATGTCGCCACCGACTGCTATTTATCTTTAATTCCCGGTGTTATCATCTGCCTATGGAGAGTCGGCAAGTCGCCACGGACTGCTACTGATATGTGAAACCGGATTTATCATCAGCCCATGAGTCTGTAAATGGCCACGGACTGTTATTGATCCGTGAGTCCCCGGTGATATCATCAGCCCATGAGTTGGAAAGTCGCCAAGGACTGCTATTGATCTGTGAGTCCCCAGTGTTATCATCAGGTCATGAGTCGGTAATTCGCTACGGACTGCTATTGATCTGTGAGTCCCCGGTGTTATAATCAGCCCACGAGTCGGTTAGTTACCACGGACTGCTACTGATCTGTGAGTCCCTGGTGTTATAATAAGCCCACGAGGAGTCGGTAAGTCACCACAGACTGCTATTGATCTGTACTTTCCCGGTGTTATCATCAGGCCATGAATCTGGAAGTCGCCACGGACTCCTACTGATCTGTGAATCCCTGGTGTTATCATCAGCCCACGAGGAGTCGGTAAGTCACAACGGACTGCTATTGATATGTGAGTCCCCAGTGTTATCATCAGGCCATGAATCGGTAAGTCGCCACGGACTGCTATTGGTCTGTGAGTCCCCAGTGTTATTATCATCAGACCATGAGTTGGTAAGTCGCCACGGACTGCTATTGCTATGTGACGCCCCGCTGTTATCATCAGCCAACGAGTCGGTTTGTCGCCATCGTTTGCTGTTGATCTGAGTCCCTGGTGTTATCATCAGCCCATGTGTAGGTAAGTCGCCAAATACTGGAATTAATTTGTACGCCGCCAGTATTATCATCAACCCATGAGTCGGTAAGTCGCCACGGACTTTTACTGATATGTGAGTCGCCGGTGTTATACTTAGCCAACGAGTCGGTAAGTCGCTACGGACTGCCATTGAAATGTGAATCCCCGGTGTTATCATCAGCCCACGAGGAGTCGGTAAGTAGCCCCAGACTGCTATTGATGTGTCAGTCCCCGATGTTATAATCAGCCCATGAGTAGGTAAGTTGCCACGAACTGCTACTGATATGTGCGTCCCGGGTGTTATCATCAGCACATGAGTCGGTAAGTCGCCACCGACTGCTATTTATCTTTGAATCCACGGTGTTATCATCTGTCTACGAAGAGTCGGTAAGTCGACACGGACTGCTTCTGATCTGTGAGACCGGATTTATCATCAGCCCATGAGTTGGTAAGTGGCCACAGACAGTTGTTTATCTGTGAGTCCCCGGTGATATCATCAGCCCATGAGTTGGAAAGTCGCCACGGACTTCTATTGATCTGTGAGTCCCCAGTGTTATCATCAGGCCATTAGTCGTTAAGTCGCCACATAATGCTATTGATCTGTGAGTCCCCAGTGTTATCATCAGGCCATCAGTCGGTTAGTTGCCACAGAATACTATTGATATGTGAGCCCCCGGTGTTATCATCAGTCGACGAGTCGGTAAATCGCCACGGAATGCTACTGATCTGTGAGTCCCTGGTGTTATAATCAGCCCACGAGTCAGTAAGTCGCCACGGACTGCTACTAATATGTAAGTCCCGGGTGTTATTATCAGTCAACGAGTCGGTTAGTCGCCACGGACTGCTGTTGATCTGTGAGTCCCTGGTGTTATCATCAGCCCATGAGTCGGTAAGTCGCCACAGACTGCTATTGATAAGTGAGCCCCCGGTGTTATCATCAGCCCATTAGTCGATAAGTCGCCATGGACTGCTATTGATCTGAGAGTCCAGATGTTATCATCAGCCCATGAGTCGGAAAATTGCCACGGACTGCTACTGATATGTGAGTCCCCGGTGTAATCATCAGGCCATGTGTCGGCAAGTCGCCACGGACTTCTACTGATATGTGAGTCTAGTGTTATCGTCAGCCCACGAGGAGTCGGTAAGTCATCACAAACTGCTATTGATCTGTACTCCCCCGGTGTTATCATGAGGCCATGAGTCGGTAAGTCACGGAATGCTACTGATCTGTGAGTCCCTGGTGTTATCATCAGCCCACGAGGAGTCAATAAGTCACCACGGACAGCTATTGATCTGTTAGTCCCCAGTGTTATCATCAGGAAATCAGTCGGTAAGTCACCACGGACTGCTATTGATCTGTGAGTCCCCAGTGTTATCATCAGGTCATGAATCAGTAAGTCGCCACGGACTGCTACTCATATGTGAATCCCCGGTGTTATTATCAGCCAACGAATCGGTTAGTCGCCACGGACTGCTGTTGATCTGTGAGTCCCTGGTGTTATAATCAGCCCATGAGTCGGTAAGTCGCCACAGACTGCTATTAATATGTGAGCCCCCGGTGTTATCATCAGCCCATTATTCAGTAAGTCGCCACGGACTGCTATTGATCTGTGAGTCCAGATGTTATCATCAGCCAATGAGTCGGTAAGTTGCCACGGACTGCTACTGATATGTGAGTCCCCGGTGTTATCATCAGCCCACGAGGAGTCGGTAATTAGCCACGGACTGCTATTGATTTGTTAGTCGCCGGTGTTATCATCAGCCCATGAGTCGGTAAGTTGACTCGGACTGCTACTAATCTGTGAGTCCCTGGTGTTATCATCAGCCCATGTGTAGGTAAGTCGCAAATTCTGGAATTAATTTGTACGCCGCCAGTATTATCATCAACCCATGAGTCGGTAAGTCGCCACGGACTTTTACTGATATGTGAGTCGCCGGTGTTATACTTAGCCAACGAGTCGGTAAGTCGCTACGGATTGCCATTGAAATGTGAATCCCCGGTGTTATCATCAGCCCACGAGGAGTCGGTAGGTAGCCCCAGACTGCTATTGATGTGTCAGTCCCCGATGTTATAATCAGCCCATGAGTAGGTAAGTTGCCACGAACTGCTACTGATATGTGCGTCCCGGGTGTTATCATCAGCACATGAGTCGGTAAGTCGCCACCGACTGCTATTTATCTTTGAATCCACGGTGTTATCATCTGTCTACGAAGAGTCGGTAAGTCGACACGGACTGCTTCTGATCTGTGAGACCGGATTTATCATCAGCCCATGAGTTGGTAAGTGGCCACAGACAGTTGTTTATCTGTGAGTCCCCGGTGATATCATCAGCCCATGAGTTGGAAAGTCGCCACGGACTTCTATTGATCTGTGAGTCCCCAGTGTTATCATCAGGCCATTAGTCGTTAAGTCGCCACATAATGCTATTGATCTGTGAGTCCCCAGTGTTATCATCAGGCCATCAGTCGGTTAGTTGCCACAGAATACTATTGATATGTGAGCCCCCGGTGTTATCATCAGTCGACGAGTCGGTAAATCGCCACGGAATGCTACTGATCTGTGAGTCCCTGGTGTTATAATCAGCCCACGAGTCAGTAAGTCGCCACGGACTGCTACTAATATGTAAGTCCCGGGTGTTATT